GTACCTCACCCATAATCTCCATTCCTCTCATCTCGGTGTGTGGATGGGATTCTCCTCAAAGTGTCTCCTGCGTCTCTTTTTCTTTGATGCTACGGTTTCCGGCGACAGTTACCTCCATATGCTGCAGACGCATGTTATCCCGCAACTCAAGCCGCACAAGAAGTCATCGACCGCCTTTCAACAAGATGGCGCTCCACTACTCAGACCAAGTGAGAACTTACCTCCAAGAGCAATTTTCTGATGAGAGAGTCATTGCTCGTGGATTTTCAAACTTTTGGCCCGCCAGGTCACCCGATCTTACACCCCTGGATTTTTGGTTTTGGGGAATGATCAAGGCTCGTTTATATCATGAAAATAAACCGAAGAATTTGGTGGAGTTAAGCGCAAGAATTAAAGAGGAGTGTGCACGAGTGACGCTTGAAGAAGTTAAACATGCTGTGTCTCACATCTCATACCGCCTTCAACTTGTTATAGAAGAAAGGAGCGGTTTCTTTTAACATCTTTTGTAATGCCAGTTTGTTCACAGTAAACCTCCATGATACATGTATGTCCACATAAAAATTATAAATGTTTGGATTGGTGTTAAATTTTTAACCTGAGTATTATTTTTTAGGTGTATTAAGAGACACCCTGTACCACTCTTTACTACATTAGGCTTTGGAACCTCCTGAAAGCGGTATTTTGTGGTTTCGCTTTGTATGTAACTAGGTGGAGCATACACCGTGTTCCTAGTGAACTACGTGATATAGAACGGAAACCAAAATGCAAACGTATTAGTGTGTCAGTACATGTCTCACCCGTACTGTCGGGTATATTGAACCCAAAACAAACGTACACAGAGAGAGCAAGTTCTCTACCACCATAACAGTCATCCTGTCAGGAAAGCCAGATTCCTGAGAATAACCCCAGAATGACCGGAACCTACTGAGACCCAAGGGATCAGAGTCAATGAATCTAGCGATTGTTACCAAACTTTCCCGAAAGCGACGGTCAAGGTCCTGATCTATCCAAGAATGGACCAATGGGTTGAGACCAGGCAAGCCAGGCTAAGATTTCACGTGGATATTTACCAATCAGAACACCAATTCCAGGTTCAGCCAATGAAAAGCTCAACCAGGTGATCAATCAGAACTGAAGGCCGGTCTCACGAAAGTAAACTCACGCGCACTCTCAGGAAAGTAAACTCACGCACAGTGACACTCAAAACGCCTGCTGAGCGGCTCCCCTGCACAAAGGACGCGTTAAAAATATCAGCTGGCCGTTAAGTTAGCCAGCTAAGTGGGCAAACCAACAGCCATACATTCAACCCAGCGGACAACGTATTTTTCCACATTCGTGTTCAAAAACGGAGGAACTGATGGCCTTAATGCCTTATACTCAACGCGGAAACCTTTCGGGAGAATACTTTTAGTATCTGGCAGTGTTTTTTTTGCGTGGAAAGGGTGACTACTGTATCGGTAGAGTCGTAGCTCCATGGTTCTTCTCACAACCCATGGGACAAGTATAAACTGATGAGTCCGTAACAATTGTCAGATTAAACTAACTGGCCAAGTGATCAATCGATTGAGATGATCAGTTCCAGTCTGGTCGAGAACGATCAATTAAAAATAGTTACACATGTATGCCAGACGACTCACCTAGAGCATTTCAGACAATCCAACAGCAGCCTGGTCAAATCCATTTGGGTTTCATCTTCTAGACAAACCACCAGGCAGTGATGGTTTTCCAACCACCCCAAGTAAGCTTCAAGTGTATGGCAAGAAATTAATGATTCGATACTCATTGAGGCCACAAATCCACTTGGTTTGGACTGCATTCGTAATTCTATTTCTGCTACGCCGGCTGGAAGGTCCTGTAGGAATGAAGGAAGATCGTCTGATAACAGTTGTTCCTCCTTCTGAGTCTCGTCTGAAACAGTAACTTTGTGTTCGTGGGAGATGGTCCCATAGTGTAGCTTGTAGACAGATATGCGTTCTTCAAGGATCGACAGTTTGTTCCGTGGATCGATTCGATTAATATAGTCGCGATACAGTCGAAGAAGATGTAGCCCGATAGCTGACCAACTGTCGAAGGAATTTAAGTCAATCGTACCAAGGTTGATCTCACTACAGTCACTGGTCGACCGCAGGACTGGTAGGTACACGCGAGCATATCGATTATTTCTGTATTTACTTGTAGCTGAGGCAGCTTCCTCATTCCTCTCTTGGACCAACCCAGCAAGGAAATCTGTAATGTCAAAAAGTTGATGGAATTAGTAGGTCTCGTCAAACAGATGAAAGAAGTAAAAACTGTTGCTGTTTGTGCTGAAAGAATGCAAACAAAAAGTAAAGGACAACTGTTCGTAAGTCTATCTGCATCGTACAGGATCTAATACCTACTTGCAGCTACGACCAATCCTTTGAAAATGCAACTTAAATGTGATAATATGCACTCGTCTTTGAAAAGTCTGTCTGTTTTATAACATGCTCTCAGCAACTGCTCACCTACAGTAGGTCTGGTATCCCCATGTGTCGGATGTCGGGCAATGGATTCCTCAGTATAGTATGTACCCAGTTAAGACAGAGAGAGGAGGCCTTCACCTGACGAACCCTCATACCCCCACCAAGCACTTGTACCAGGTGGTACGGCACAAATCAAGAGCTGGAGAAAGTTTCTTGACAAACACAACTAGCGGTAGAAGTGAACTCACAACAAACCCTCACTCAATTCAGTCACCTGTGTATTGAACAACTGGCTCGCTAAAATTACTTGATTGGTAAACTAAAGTGGATTTCTAGCTAATTAATTTGGCGGATTCTGTTTCCGCAAAAGTTGCCTCGCCAAAGTAAGAAAATGAGAAAAGAGCATGTCGTCAACATTCCACCTTCTAGTTAACTCTGGATACTATTCAACCTGACGCTACCACCGGCATCATTTTTGTCGACCATCACCTCGGACAGCGAAACTACCTTTCACTTCTGATGAAGCGAACAAGATTCTTTTTAAGGTTCACGATTTTCAAGTGAAGTACTCATTTCAGGCCAAACGGCGATGGTTATCCTGACCGTGAGAATGATAAAGTACGAAGGAGGTGTTTATTGATGGTAAGTCCCCTAACCCTACTTAACCCATTTCTGATGCAACATACGTTTTTGTTCCCGGATGACTTTTACGTGCTTTACTGCGAAACATCACCTGTTTGTCGTTGGCACTGTGATGTCGAGCTACACTCATGCTTGTGGGGAGTCATCAGTAGCGCGCGTCTCACGAAGCACCTGGAAGAACGAAATCCCCCCAAAATATTCGGACGCTGCCGAAAATCAATAAGTAGTTCGGAGGAAGAGCGAAATTCCCTCGATGGGTGAAACTTCCATTTGAGCAATAGTCACTCAAGGAGCCAGTGAACACGTGTGACCACGTGATGTGTTTTCCGATACAGAAGAATGGGTGATACTACATCCTGTCTAGAGTTAATCAAATCACACCGTGATCAGCAGGTCGTGGCCGGCCGCCAGCCGGGAGTTCTCGGGTTCGAGACACCCTACTGGATTTTCGCGGGATGAGTATTGCCGATGGTTCCTAATAAGAACAAAACAGTGTTTCCAAACTATTTAGCACACATTTGCCTCACACGTGGAACGAAGTCTCTATTAAAGGTAACTCTCTGTCACCCAATCTACAATTAGGTTGGTTGCGCTCTGATCTATACAGGTTGACCAACTTTCATACAAAGTGCTCTGTGTATCCCTTGCCGAGTTGGGTGATGCTCGGTTGCTTCTGCTGCCATCCGAGGAATTAGCAAGTCTGTCGGAGCGTTAAATGGCCCACCAATGGAAGCCTCTGGCTTGGCTCATCAGATTGTTCTCTGATCCGTTTGTTTTCACGACTATCTCAAGACTAATTTTATACGCATTTCATTAGATTGCTGTGGTTGGTTTTGACTTCCAATCTTTATGCGTATTTTGTGACGTGTCTGCTCCTGACGTTCCGGGGTTTTAGATGCACAGTGGTGCTTAAGATGGCTTCCTGTAGCCATCTTTGTACAGGCCAGACTAACCATACCAATATTAAACAGCGCTTTGTGTGGCTCTTGGATGCATCCTGTGAGTAGTTCGGACAACATAGCAGCCTTTCACATATGCTGTGAATCCCAAATGTGTAGTCGCACCAGCTCTATGTGAAAGTTATGGACCATCAAATGAGGGTGCTCTGGACTCTAAGGCGGTACCATCTTGTTCACTCTCTGGCATTATCCCACCGGGTTTACACCGAGTACGATGCGCCTAAGCTCGAGTCACATGTGGCACGAGGGTCCATCACTTTGATGCACTAGATATTAGATTTTAGAACAATACTGAGCTGGTCGTTCCCTTTCATCAGAAGTGGATTTGCCCCGAGTGAAAATCAATTTGACAGGTGTACAATGTGTGTGAATTTGTTCGCTTTAAGTTGTACACATATACTGGTTTTGTACTTTGGCTGATTCGATATCACGATAGGTTAACGCGGCTGTTCATCGGTTTTTCCCGTAAAGCATGCTTCAGTCTTGTAATTTGTGGGATATTTTGATGAAGCAATACTTGGGCTTTTTAGGCATTTTCGCCTATCGATAAGTCAGGATGCCATTCTTTTTCCGCTGCTAAATGCATAGATCTGCCAGCTAGCAAGGAATATTCTACGTCAAAGTCGGTCATATTTTTACCTTTGATTTATGGAAGGTAGACAAACCAAACAGTATGTCCGGAAAGTTACCGGCTCGAAATTCCTGGTAATCAGTAGGTTACATACAAACGGGCATATGTGTATTGGAAAATCAAATTTCAATTTCTACCTGATGAGCCCCAACGAGGGCGAAACCGGTCGTGGGTTGTTGAAGAATTTTCAGCAAACTTATGAGTAGTGCGTTACAAATATACATGTCTTGCGATATAACGAATATCGTAGCGACTGAAACGTGAGGCCGCCTGGTACAGCACATTCAGTTGCCTGGAGACATAAAAAACGAGAGATTTAGCCGAGTTCCGGGTGAGTCTTTCGCTAAACCAAATTAGTTTGCAAATGAGTGTATTTCGGTAAATCGTGTTTACTTTGGTCACGTGGGCTGGACTAGACGCTATGCTCGGCTTGCGCCCTACGTTAATACTCTGAATGAGGTCAATTAAGCTTTTTCTATGTTAAAAAATATCAGCCTTGTGTAGGTACCGGAGCTTGTGTATTTGCCGGAACGGAAATTCGATCAGTCACTGAATGACTGCCGTTGCATTCCTCAGCGTATTCAGGACATGGTGACTCAGATCTGCTTTCAACTTTCACGCTGCCGAAAATCAATAAGTAGTTCGGAGGAAGAGCGAAATTCCCTCGATGGGTGAAACTTCCATTTGAGCAATAGTCACTCAAGGAGCCAGTGAACACGTGTGACCACGACCGGTTTTGCCCTTCTTGGGGCTCATCAGGTGGGCGCAGTCTTCAAGTTTCCTCAACCTTATGATCCACTTGAACCCAAATATGACTGATTTCAACAAATACACTCATTCGCAAATCAGAGCGTTTCCAAGGGAGACCCAGATGGATCTCTCGTTTGTGATATTCATCAACTGAATGTGCTGCGCAAAGGCCACTTCAGCGTACATTTTGTTAAAAAGTTACTAAGGGTGTCAAAGCTGAGAATACAAGGACATTTCACTGCATTTCGAGACCTAATTAGAGAGAGGTGTTCCTACTAAAGGCCAGCGAATAGGTCAGTGAAATATCGTATCCATCAGAAATTCGTGGATGACATTTAAAGGAACGCATATCGTTCCCTGACTGAAAGCATAAAAGGGTAGTCGCTGAACTTTGTTCTACCAGAACAGGAGCTTTGAATGTCTACTGGCGACTTGTACGTTTGCTCATTCGTTATCCACGTGATTTTTGCTGTATATCTGAGGAGGTGCTTTTGGTTCATAGGGCATTTTAGAAAAGTAAATTGAAGAAGCTGAATGAACCGTTAGACTGTACTTCCCGATGAGTGTGGGCATTCGAAATCGTATTGGTGAGTACGCATATACAGCTATCCCTCCCTGAATACGGAAACTAAGAAGATGAGCCAATGCAGTTCTTATCTGAGAGGCACTTTTCTTGAGTAGAGCCATTCTAGAAAAAAGAAGTCTGAAGTAAACCATATATTCAAACACGTCTGGTGGAGTACTTGGGTAGGAATAGTCTCCATTTTGAAGTATTGAAGACGTGAAGCTTATTCTGCATCGGTTGCTTTATTGCAAATTCAGCGATGTTTGACAAGAACTAACTCCATCAGAAAGGCCCACGTCTAGGAGGCGGTCGACTTCTTGATGCTAAGGAACGGTTCTATTGAACCTTAGGGGCATAACGACCAATCGTTACCTCGAAGAACTTGAAGTGCTAACAGTCAACATTCAGTGTAGTGGCAAATTATTTTCACTTAATATACTACTTATAAAGTTGCTGAAAATACTACTACAGTCCACTAACGATCCCGCACCTCTTAAGACCCATCAGTTAGGTGCAGTCCCCCAAATTCCATTAACACTTTATCCCATATGATGATTAAATTGTAAGCAGCTAGCTAATTACACTCGTTTGCAAATGAAAGTCATGCGTATGGAGACCCAGCTGAGTCCCTCGTTTCGGTTAGCACCATGCCCGAGTTATTTCAGTGTACTTGCTTGACATGGCTTAAACCTGGGGTAGCCTTTTGCAGTAGGTTTATTTGCAACGCGATTCATGAACGAGAGATTCAGCCGGAATTCGGTTAAAAATCGAGGTAATACCAACTTACTTTGCACGTGAAAATCTGGTCAACAACTTGCCTAACCAAAAAAGGAAATCGAGCATAAAACCAGGTAGCTGGGCCAGACCAAACAACCTGGCTTTGGACTCTGGTTAGTATCTCTGTGATTTGCTTTTAGGGACAGAAGTTGCTAGTTCTGATATCCATCCCCTGGGCAAACTGTCAAAATGTGGTCGATCGTTTTGCCCGCCTTTTTCTTTGAATTACATTTGCTTCGTTCAAACAATCTCCGCTGAAAAACGGTGTGGACTGAGAGGAGGAATCGGGAAACCTATCAATTTGAAGATACAGACAGCCACCTGAGTGATCACTGTCTATAGTGACAGTCACATTTCTCGAAAATTTAGCAAACCGCTGAGGTACGCATGCAATCAGAAATGAACCAGTTAGACAGCTGACAAACAGGGAGGCCGGGGGTGTCGTTCTGGAAAGCAAAAAATTGGTTGTACCAAAAGAGGCGGACAACTTTCATTGTCTAACTGGACAATCATGGCTGCATAAAATGGTAGGCAGCCAAAGTGGGGGCTGGTGCGCAAGAAGCTTGAACTTTCGACCCGCGCGGTTTGATAAATGTCATCGGACAGACGCATAATACGATTGTGTGAAGTGGATTCCCGTGTTCCTTTTATCGAAACTAACCAGTTTTCATACTAACACGTTGTTTTTGTTTGGTCACCCGAAAATAGTGGTGGGACCCTCTGTAGCCTCATTAATCACAAGATAGACTTAGAAACAACAATAGGTGTCACCCTGGTAACCTGGGGAACAATTAGTGGAAGGTCATAAACAAAACGTGAGTCATCAATACGTCGATTTCGAATGCATCTGTGACTGTTTTCAGATTAATGGAAGTTATCAAATGATACCGTATCAAGAGACTCCAAAATCGCTGGATATCACAAAACTTGAATCTGTGTTGTCCAGGCTGAAAGCGACTTGAAATTGTGCCAACTGGCACACAACCTGTTACCACCGATTATGGCATGGAGAAAAAAATCGATTCAAGGCCTAATTTTCTTCTCGAACTGGGTCAGAAGCGTTCACAGTGAACAGCACGTTGAAATCAAACTGACTGGCTTGAAAAATCCACTACTTGGGGAGATTAGGCAGTGCGATTAATGAACCTTTCCCACAGGTAAACTAAATTCTGCCGTCTTAAGCTACGTCGCAGGTCAACCAAGACTTATTACCCATGAAATTGGGAATGCGCATTTTTACTGCTTTCAGATTTGAAGGTAAACTATCATCCTGTCCGATCTGGACCCTGATGACGTCATGCTACGGTTCAATGGTTCCAAGTGACCTTACCAAGTGGACTGACTCAAACAGTTTCAAAGTCGGTCATTGTTTTCATCTATATCTGGGGAATTTGATACCGCAAGAACATTACACGATCTCGTGAAGAAAACATAGTGCGGATGACCAACACACTCGCGACGGTAAGGGAAGAACTACCATATCGTATCGGGAGTTCAGGCTTTGTCTTCCAGTTTATGAGAAATCACTTGGAGGTTCTTCTTAGGCGTGTGAGAGAACAATGGATTACTTTTTATAAAGGAAACTACTCACAAGGTTGCTGGAAACTCTTCGACAACCCTCGACTGGTTTCGCCCTTCTTGGGGCCAGCTCATCAGGTAGGCGCACTCCCCGAGTTTCCGTCAACCTTATGCTCTACTTGAACTCAAATGGGACTGTTTTTGAGAAATACACTCAAATCAATTTGGTTGTTACGAGAGACTTGACTGAATCTCTCGTTTATGATATTCTACAACTAAATGTGCTGCACACAGGCCTACCTGATGAGCCCCAAGAAGGGCGAAACCGGTCGTGGGCTGTCAGAGTTTTCAGCAACCTTGTGAGTAGTTTTTTTAAGAAAACACTGACTGGTCTTCCTGGTAGCTGACGAAACAGTTCAGTACAAACCTGGTTTTGTCTCCAAGCTGGTGCACTGAATTTATGAGTCAGTTTACTGTCTCCAGTGCACAAAACACTAGGATGATTGAGTGATCTTACAAACAGTTCAACTAAAAACGGTGGGTGTGGACTGATATGCGGCCGTTTCAAATAAAAACTAGTTCTGTTATAACTTGCAAAGAAGCACCCGGAATTTTGACAGGACTTCATTCAGGAATAAACTTAGGTTGGGTTTTGCAGTGCAAACGGTCTATAGGCATTTTGGTATGTCTGCGTTTGATGCACGGAGACGATGCATCTACCCCGATCTACTGGGGTGTTCCAGTCACGTGAGTCTTTATCTCATTCTGCCCAGACGATGAAAATTAACCGGCTGCTCATAATAGCCAAAGAATGCTTAAAAATCGCGCATGAATGCAATATCCTCGAAGAATTTCGAACCCTTGTCCTACTGTTTGTTAGCCATGTATTGCCGTGAAGAACACTTACAACATGAGTTTGAAACCAACTCAAAGCCTATCTATGTTGGACCAAGGGTTTTCATCTCATTACTCCACGCCAAAATGATCCCACGTGAAAAACGTCACAGGTTTCGCTGTCCCGAAGGTAGGTTCAACCATAAGTTTAGAAAAGAATTTAGAAAAAATCACGCACCTATATACGCACAGGTTCACTCTTTCAAGTAAGCCTGAGGCACAAACCTCCAATCCCATCGGAATATACTACTTACTGTTTACGAATATTCCGACGTTTGTACCGGTCAATGTAACACCCACCGCACCGATTTCCGACTTTTGGTTGAAACTAGTAACTGTCTATTCCCAGACGGGTGCCGTTCGGCAAAATTAGTTGGATCAATATACACAAAAAAACCAGTTTGCCCCGAAACCAAGATTTGTCTACATACCACTCGGCAAAGCAATACACATTTTTTACCGCTTGTGTCTGGACTTTTCATGTTTGTGGTTAATGAAAACAAATAAATGTTTAGATTGTGTGATTTATGCGTCCAGAAAACTGTAATTACGGAGCTTCTTGATCCATTTACTTCGTCGAATCATCGAGAAACATCAACACACTCGTTGGTATCTACGAGTTCCTTCGCGGCGTATGGCGTCATGCGGTTTCGGGTGGTGCAGTTCACTGGGTAACAGTAATGAAATCACATTTCGGTGAGTGATGGAGTGCTATACCTACCCTTGAAATGATCGATGAATCACAAATTCCAAACTGTTATTTAGCAAACATGGTCAGGACTGTAAAAACAATCAGGCTAAATCAATGTCCAGGCTAAATCAACATTCAGGCTGTGTCCAATCTTTAGTTCCAACCCAACAGGGTGAGCAACGAGCATTCCGGTCTCAAATGACGTTGTGCTCTAATCAACAACAACTAGTTTTCTTCTGGAGAATTTCAAGCCCCTTTTAAGCTCTCTAAACAAGGATGAAAGCCTGTTTTTCTGGATACAAAGATCTAAATTGACTTCGACTGACCACACACTGAGATCCTTACGGTTTCGCCCCAAAATCCCTGGAAATCGATTAAAACACAGAGATACAAATGCGAAATAACCGGACTAAATTTGCTTGGAAGTTTTAGAATTTCATCTCTTCACATCTTTATTTCCGAAACATTTGTCAGAACAGGGAGCAGTTTCCAGTTTGAATACGTCCTTGAGAGAAAGGTACGCCGGTCGAAGGAAAGGCATTCCGCTGTGTTATCCACTCGGCCGCTTGAGGCAGCTATAACATCAAGGGAAATGTAAATCTATTCTAAATTCCCGTGGTGAACAATCAATCCATATTCATCATCAGCCGCGTAACTGCCGTGCATAGCTGCCAGAGTTTCGTTCGCTGATGATGTGGGTAGATTTCTACGCATGGGAGGTGGCAGCTGATCTAATTGATGTGTAAATACAGGGTCATTAGTGGACCTTCAGTTGATTAGATCGCGAGGGGAGCTATGTATTGAAGGCAATAGCTTGGATGCATAAGTGGGCCATGTATGACAGAATCTCAAATCAATAATGTATCCCGTCTCGCAGTTCCCCCCAGGTAGACGGCAAAAATCTGCACAACTGAGTCTGCTGGTAATGTCTTTCGCACTTCGCTGCCATGTCACTGTTTACTCTTCCCTGGTTAGTTTTCATCCTTCACGTGGCTTCCTCGAGAAGTCAGTCAGTCGGCACACGGAGCACGTGACAGAGCAATCTATGGAGTGTAATCATCTATCGATTGTTCATCTATCGTGGGCGAGTTGTTTGTTCTGAATATCACTCACATCAGAATTTGTTAGTTTCGACTTTGTGAAAGAAAAAAATCTATAATGCAGTAATAAACGTGGACCCTATAGGTTGGCATGAAACTTCAGCTCAGTATGTACAAGGGTTATAGGAAAATTTGGACACCGTGTAGTTATGAGGGGCAGCTGCATGAAAATTCGATGAACATACCGAAATCTGTCTCGTTTTCGGTTTTTGTGCTGACAGTGAGACACCCATCCGCTTTCGGAGCTTCCGAAATTGCACTGGTAACTGCGTTGGTTGGTACAAATTCGATGAACATACCGAAATCTGTCTCATTTTCGGTTTCTGTGCTGACAGTGAAACACCCATCCACCTTTAGAGTCTCCGTAATTGCACTGGTAACTGCGTTGGTTGGCAGCATCGTCTTTGTTGTCATCATCATCTGTTGCAGACGTGCATTATCGGAACGGAGATGCTGCATTTCAGCGTACACTCGTGACAGCTGATCGCGCAATTGATTCACCTGATGTGTACTCGCCAGTGCTTCTAGCTGTACATCGGTCAGTTTCAAATCACGTTCACTCAGCTGTTGACGAAGTCGGTTAAGCTCGGCCTGCAGTCTGACGGTTGGAGAGTCTGTTGAGCTCACGTCTGCGAAGGCATCGTCCATTATGGAACCAAGCCATCTGGATGAGTAAAATCAATAACCAGTTTGGTTTTAAGCGGATAGAGAAGAATGAAATGTTGAGCATTTTGTAGTCGATGTGTTAAACTTGACCGCGCTTTATGCAGACACGCCTCTTCTTAGAGGTCTTCCTTCGTGGGATTCCTTTTTTAGAGGGCAAGCCCTCTTCTGAAGTCAGTTTCCGGGCGATTGTTTTCAAGTGGTCATTGTACGGAAGGTCATTCCAATCACGACAAGGACAAACTAAAGTACATCTTTTTGCTTTCTGCAACAGGCATTAGACATTACCTGCATTCTCTTGGAAGATGGTATGTTTACATAAGCCCCCGGCATAATAATCATACTGGGATGAAAAACCACAGAAAAGTTTCAGAAAACTTTGGACAGCCTTTCAGGTTCTATAGATCCATTCATTCATTTGCACATGTCAATCAAACGGTAACTTCAAAGTTTCTGTCTCACTCGTAGATTGTGACGCGTCCAGGGTGCATCGTAATTAGTACAGTGAGGTAGCACTCATTCCCTTGGTCCCGGATCTGCTTAAGACTGTATTGGCTTGTCTGTTAGCAGTACATTTGTGAGGCGTATCCCGACGTCCCGACTTCTCTGTGAGTTTCGTTCAGATTTCTTTGGAAGGTCGGTAGAATTCAGGTTCAACACTGATAGAAGGCTGTTGAACAATGTCGGTATACTGATTAGATGAAACAGTCCAGAAAGAAGTGTTTTAGGACCAATTCACCTTCCAGAAAAAATGTTCAGTAAGCCGACATTTCTCGGTGTGTCATTTCTGCCTCGGAGTTGTAACTCTAAACTCTGCACGTCTGCCTCTGCTAAAGGATATCCATGGGACAAACGGGAATTATGCCAACATTCAGGAATTCTCTCCATATTGGATATTCTGTTCCACCGTTCATAGATGGATCAGCTTTGGAAACGGCGGTCCTGGTTGACAGTATCTCTTAGTTCAGTAGTTCAATGAACTCGTGATGGCTCACCGGTAAGTTGATGACGGTCCGTGGTTAGATACCCCCTCCGGTATCCCGACTGTGCCTGTCTGGGCTTGGGAAACCTAGAAGTATCCCAGTTCTCGCGTCTCCTCCGAGTGACATGGCTGCTGGGCACCGAAAGTATGCTAAAGCCAGAGGAGTATTGTTTGCTACTATAATTGGCAGTAGTAGTATCCCCGGGGTTTTCGACTGTAACTCTCAGGAATTGCTCTATCTGCCGTTGGGCTGATGAAACCCTTCTTTCATGGCAATCTATGCATTTGCTCTAAATTCCTTTAGCGCATCGCTTCAGTTTCTCAAATTAGTGTACTAGAACAAAGCTGGTTTCTTAAACTAGTCGAATTATATCAAGTATGAGATACGTTGAAGTCCAGGCCCTCTCAAAAAAAAAACAAGAAAACAATGCAGAATATGCGGCTCATTGATTCGAATACTCATCATCAACTCAAGTCCATCGGCTCTGTTTAAACAAACTCTGTTATAATAGAATACCATTCAGAGAAATCTGGTTGAATCACACAAGTTCAACCTAGCAAATGTGGTGGAGCAATCACTTTTCTCCATTCAACAACCACTGCCTGGGGTATCTCATGAGAGTCTGTGAATTTTCGGTGAGTCTTTTGACAAAATTGTATATTAGGCTGGCCCCGATGCTTCTAAACTGGCCGTACAGATCATGTCTGGGCAACTCTGATGACGAAAACTAATTCTTTTTTTCACATATATCTAAGTTTTTTGGACCTTTTTTGCATATAAGATATGTAGTTGAGACCAACAAATCCGTCCCTCTGTTCTATGAACCCACCCTCTTGTAACTGAGTATATACCAAGCAGACCACTTTATGAAACTACCTGTGTGCTGGATGACAACTCATGGTGAGCTCACTATCTGTTTCGCCCTATTCGGAGCTTATCAGATGAGTCTGAGTTTGTTTGAGTTGATCGTTTGTCAAGCGTTTTCTTGTGTGACGGATAGAAGCGTGTAGCAAGTCACAGCTCAAAAGGAGCATTTCGAGACCCCATGTCCACATCCTATGATGTACTGCCTATAGTCAAGGTTATTCATTCGTCTTGAACTTAGGCTCGGGTTTTAAAGTGGAGTGGATTTTGACAAATACAGTCTTTTGAAAATCAATGTGGGTTTGACGGGAGACTCAAGTGAATCTCTCGTTTATGACGTTCGTCAACTGAATGTGCTGCACACAGGCAGCCCCATGTTTCAGCTGGCACGATATTCGAGATATCGCAGGATATTTTCATAAAGGAAACTACTCACAAGGTTGCTGGAAGCTCTTCGACAGCCCACGACCGGTTTCGCCCTTCTCGGGGCTCATCAGGTAGGCGCAGTCCCCGAGTTTCCGTCAACTTTATGTTCTATTTGAACCCAAATTGGACTGTTTTCGAGAAATCACCATCATCATCGAGAAATATACCCATTTCCCAAAGAAGGGCGAAACCCGTCGCGGGCTATCGAAGAGTTTTCAGCAACCTTGTCAGTAGTTCCCTTCATGAAAAGCAGTCTCGTTATTTGCAAGCCCCGACCAAGTGCGACTAGAATACCATCCATAAAGCGCCTATGTGGTCGAATTCGCTCCAGTTATCGTTCTATATTCGCTGTGAACGGATCAACTTGGTGCGGACCACACCACCAAACTGGCAAGTTGAAATATGGCCCCAAAAATTTTGGATTTTTGCTAATATTAATTAGAAACCCTGTACTAATTGAACTTTTTGTTTTAAGTTCCATGAGTGGACAGAAATTAGATTGTTGATGTCTAGTGTTGTTTTGAATTTCTGTTCGACCGACTGGGTCATCCGAGGCATTGATCGTTTCGCCTATCCTTAGCGCGGCTGCATTCCAAAGTGTGTCAACCGATCAATACATCACATTGAAAGACCGCCCGAACAGGGGATGACTCATCATTGTTGTTTGTGAACTGGGGCTTGTTAACCGAACAGGTGTTTTAGTGACGAATACCAACCATGGGCAGACTATTGAAGTAACGATAGAAACAGGTTAATCACAATTCATTATTCCATACAAAAAAACACCGGCTAATGGTGGCCGGATTTGTTTGGCCACTGCCTTAAACCATGACTGAGTAATACTCACGAAATCGGAGATAAAACCGCCTGAGGCTTGTTCGTTTGATCATAAACTGAATGATCAGCTTGTTGCATTCTCGCATCGTGCTTCCCCTCATAGTGTGGCTTTTCTGTTTGATTTTCGGCCAAAGAATATGGGCTTTCAGAGTCCGCTGTGTGATTTGCATCGATCAGGTAGTTGGGTACAATGGTGTGTCGGGAACACTTTGGCGTTTGCACCAACACAGTTGTTCCATTTGGCAAATTGGGTTTCGGGTCTGCAAATTGAGGGAGTATAAAAAACGGATAAGCATGTACCGTTGGGTGGTCGTTACTGGAAGTAGATATAACTGAGTTTCACGCAACTCCTGATACGTAATTGTTACATCTGGTGATTCGCCAATCTGTTGTATCTGACCGCTGACCCGCTACAGTGTCTAATGCCCGAAAAAAACACTACAGAAAGGAAAAAAAAGACTCACAGAACAGGCGAGCGCAACAGCATGAGTGCGTGCGAGTGCAGAGGCACAACAGTCTCAAGCTATTTATTGGAGAGACACTGTCTGGCCTTGGTCCAATGCTAACGCACACGGTCTGACCTTGGTACGAGGCTGTGACGCGCTGCATATTGAGGGGGCGTTGCCTGTCTCGTCAGCATCTAGTGGAGCTGAGAGTCTCGGTAGAGTTCGGGTATCTGGTTGTTGCTTTCAGGAGGCTGACCTTCCTGATAGTAATAAAGCGTTAACACCGATCGTCAGAATATTTACCTAGTAAAAGGCTCCTGCGATTATGGGACTAGAAAGACTTAGCATAGTTACTGAGTCTAGTGAGGCTAGAATTGTCCGTTTTGGCCTCCTAAAATGAACTGACAATAAAGTCGGCCACCGGAGTTGTAGCCAGCTTACAGGTTGACTGTGTGCGCATCCTTCTTTCTTCTACGTTTCAAGTTTTGTAATTTTTTGGTGGCTCACTTAGACATGGTCCCTAGGTGGAGGTCTGAGCTGGATGGTGCTGCATCCGTTCTCTTGCACAGTTCCATGGGAGAAAGGTTAGTCGTCAAACCCTCAGGAGGATCGGAGGGTCAACAAAAAGAACACCAGTGCTAGTTAGTTTCAACAACTTGTGGAGGAGAGGTCCCTCGAACAAATCAGCTGAGGGCTACCTATTATTGTGCCATTAATAAGAAAAACGGACAGTCATCATAAAGGAAACTACTCGCAAGGTTGCTGAAAACTCTTCGACAGCCCACGACCGGTTTCGCCCTTCGTGGGGCTCATCAGGTAGGCGCAGTCGCCGAGTCGTGCATCGAACCAGTAGCCGGATAGCAACTAGTCCATTCTTCACACAGAATAAGAGCTTGTTTGCAGCCCAATTAAGCTAGTTAGTCCACACTTCTAAGCTGCTCAGGTTTTGTGTGGCTGTCATCTTACCCAATAGGCCTTTTCAAGTGAGTTGCACACACTGAAGACGCTTAGCACCTCTGCTTCTCAAAGCCCCAAGGGTTTATTTATGGACCCAATAAGTAAATCTCCCCACTAACCGGATCGGAGATCACGTGATTGAGTTATTCCTGAATTCGTTGATCAGTCATTCATCTGATCTGACCTGACCAACTGGGGTCGCCGTATTTCAGGGTGTACTCAGTTCTTTTGATCATAGCTACAGATTTCGGTAATAGATCTATCTGGTCACTGAATCCAAAGGAGTCGCAAACACTTGTGTAGTTAGCCCAAGGCAGGACATCGTTGAGGTTAATATTGTGGTCGGTTCCTCTAAAGTCATCCCCAAAAGAAGCAAGCAGAGTGCAGTTATCCTAAAAATTGACGTACGACTTTTCCGTTGTCGCTGATATCTCGTGGCTAAGGGACGTTCCTAGTTGAAGAGGACATCATCCATATGTTGTCGATTAGTTAAGAAGTATTGATAAACGTGGAAAACTGCCATACAAATCGCAGGGAACTTCAAGTAAAACCAAGTGGACACAGAACGTCAGGCCAGTTTGAAACTTGACAGCGGTGGCCTGATAATTACCGACTTTGGTCTTCATGTTGGATTGAACAAAGTCAATAGTGCTTGCTTCATAAACGGCAAAATCATAAGAAAAAGATTTAGCTGGATTTCAGGTGAGTCTTCCGTCAAAAGGAAATTTGTTTGCGGATGAGTGTATAAGTAAGAGAGTGCCAGAAGTTATTTTACGAGACAGTTACCTGAGCCACAGATTTTTCCACTATGCACAAACCAGACTTGTATTTTCCCTGCAACCAATGTGCTCCAGTCTGGGATCCACATTGGTTTTGCCATGGAGCTCAGCAAGTGCGGATTCCTTGCCAGCTAAGTACTTAAAGAAAAACGCTTATCTGATCCAATCTTTATCGAGTAGATCAGAGAAAAGACCGGAAAATCCGGAAGTCCTGGTGCAAGCGCCCGGCTGATCCAAACATCAACTACACAATAATCAGAAGTATCCACGAAGACGTGTTTTGACGGGCTCATAAAGAGAGAAGAACGAGTGATTTAAAGACCAACACTGAAGCGAGTGACTGCAAAACAGTGTATCCTTCTGTATCAGTTCTATTTTAGGGCTAGGAATTCCGGATGATGAGAACGGAATCTGTTACGGCAGCTACAACCACTGAACAACAAGGACGCGGTTCTTACAGCTAATAATGATGACGATGATGATTAGCTTGTGAAAGGGACGAGATGGCCCAAGTGGTTAGAGCGCGAATTTACTGACCAGAAGGTCCGTGGTTCGAATCCGACCTACGCCTCTCGACTTCCCCTGTCTAGGCTTGGGCAACCTGGCAGTATCCCAGCCCTCGTGCTTCCTTCGGGTGGCATGGCAGCTAGGCACCGGAAGGGGGCTATAGCAGAACGCTGTGAAAGGGTCTGTTTGTGAGGTATCAACCGACCGATGAGAATGAAAATAATAAGGAATAGTCAACAAAGAAACACATACCGGGTCTTTCGCATCATTCAGGCGTCGGACAAGATTGGGGTAGAAGCGGTAGACTTGATCACCAAAGGAGTTTGGAAGTGGACACAAACTGGCCGGTTGTTGATGTTAGGCACCGAAAGGGTGCTAGAGCTGAACGATTGTTTTTGCTAAACACCTCCAAGTAGATAGTGCTAATCCCTTAATATTAACTTATGAGCAGGCATTTTTTCCAAGAAAAGAACAATCTGGATGTCTTGAGCCCGTTTTGCTATGTGAGATCTTCTCAGAAACATTTCTTTATGGAAGAAATGCCTGTCAGAGCAAGGTTGACGGGGCAACTTTTCGGAGTCGTTGTTGAAACAACTCCGAAAACTCTCAGAATTTCGTAAGATGCGCACTGCTGATGACTACTAATGAGGACAAAATCAGTAGTTCTCTGGTTTTTGACATAGACTGAATTCACTTTCAGCATGTCCTCTTAATTGAAAACAGAAAGTCTGCCCTCCAACTTTGTGTGTAGTGACTACTTTCAGAACTACCCACGTTTTGGGAGTTATAGCCATCCTTTGAATGTGTTCGTTCCTTTTGGCTAATGTATCCAACACCATGGCACATCTTAGCATTCTTTTTTCCAGCTTACGAGTTCAAAGCAAACTCGAGTGGCTCGAGAAGGCCAGCCGCACGTTCTTCATGCTTGTCTGCTTTTCGCTTGGGCCAAATCAGCCTGTCCCGTTCGGCGTTATGTTTAAGTGCTCAGTGAACAATTTGCAACATGCAGTTCGCAACTAGAAACATCTGGTTTTCTCTTCAAAGCAAGCTACACGGACGAGTTGATTAGTCTGAAGAGCCCACTTCAGCCTTTATTTGATATCGATTTTTTTCATCACGTACATTTTTACCATTCAACACCAACGACGCATTCATGTCTGGTCATCCCGCTTACCAGAAGGTGTGCTGGCAGAACAGATCGCCTTCCCACATTCTGGCTGTGGCACCAGTCCGGATGCACTCCAAGACGAATTAGACGTTGAGGAATTGGAAGGAGAGAGTCCGTTTAGTTGAATTCGGCCAGACGATACCTGTGAGACCAGATTGGTTGGTTCCAACGCGTTGGACGCGCTCGGAGTCGGATGAATGCCGTGCACCTGTGTCATATTTGTGTGATTGATGGTCGAGGAAATCTGCGTGTTGTGAACCAGATCCTGGACGGCAGTGGTCGCCGGTTTTGTGGGTGGAAGTGACGACTTTTTACGGAATGCTTTTCCTATGGAACCGCGGAACTGTAGAAGATGTTTTGAAAACAGTGCAACACGTTAGTTGCATCACATGGGGCAGATGGTTTTTGCAAGCAAAAATGTGGGGAGGAGAAACCTAACTGGAAATTGGGTCGTGTGTGTTGAATGACAAAACTCCCTTCAATGAATGACACAACCTCGTTTTTTGATAAGACGAGTTGATCTATCACACTGATCGATGTTACGTAAACAGGGTTAGAGTAATTTGAATGAAACCGAATTGTAAAAAACTGGTTACCATGCAGGAAGCATGTAAAATGAACTACTTCATAAGATAATATCCTTACAAGTGGCTCAGTGTCGAGTAGTGAGTCAATGATACCAACTTCGAGCGGCCGAAATTTCCAGAAAATATGAAAACAATGAAAGTGTTGACCCCTCCGGTTTCTGACCAGATACTGTCACGTGTCATGTCATTCTGGAATCCCACCTAGTTGAAATGCCTCTCTCCCAGAATGTATTGCGTCACCGATAAAAATAGTTCCTCAACACGTCAACCTTGTTTCTTTTTTCCATCATGCGTGTTATGTTTGGCCAAGCTGTAACTTAACGGCCTCTAAACAGAACACAACCACACTTACTGTACTTGGGGAAATCAGCTGTCAGGAAACGGTAGGATTGTTTGTCCGACAGTTAGAGGCGGGCCTGCTTTTCTAGTTTTTAGACGCGGTATGACCAGATTCGTATGAGATTTGAGACAATGAATCGTAAAACCTACAAACTTGAGACAGCAAAACCACCAGAAAGTAAGAGGTTGAGTTAAGAATTACGAATACAATCCAACACTCTCCCGTTTTCTGCACAACTTTGATTTAAACAAAGCATCTGTCTAATGAGTACGAAGCTAGTCTCAGTCATTCTAGTCTGTCTGAAGAGCTTCCGTTTATTGTCTGAATGAGACTACTCATAAGGTTTCTGAAAATTTTTTGACAGACCTTGACTGGTTCCGTCCTTCTTGGGGCTCACCAAATGGCCCCGATTTCTGTCAACTTTGTGTTTTATTTGAACCCAAACTATAGAGAGGAATCAGCTAAAATTATTGCGAAACTCATTGTTTATTGCGGAGAAGTTGATTCTATAATTTGAGGCGAGATAGCTCAAAGGTTACTGATCGGAAGGTCCGTGGTTCGAACCCCGACTTTTCCCGTCTAGGCATGGGCAACCTGGAAGTATCCCAGCCCTCGTGTTTCTTTAAGGCGACGTAGCCACTAGGCACCGAAAGTGTGCTACAGCTAAACGTTTTTTCTAAAGTTTTCTATAAGGTTGTCTATAATTCAGACTTTCCATCATGCTGGTCACGACGATATGTACATTCACCTAGTCGGTTGGACCAACAGCTAAAATTTATCCAAATTAGATGTAGGTTTACGGTTGCGGTGACGTAGAAGAAGGTACCATCCTTCAAAATCGGCATGGGTGGGGATGTACGTGGGTGGGGGAAATGTATACACGTGTGGTAATCACCATAACCCCGGTCAAATATCCGTATATTCAACGGCAAAGAATTTCGGGGACTACGCCTACCTGATGGGCTCCAAAGTGAGCCAGTAGGTTGTCCATGAATTTTAATCAACGTTCGTGTGGTACCGTACAAGTAAAAGGAATAAGGCCTTCGCTGCGGAGTTATTTACTAGGAGAACACCCGCTGAACCGTTACAGACAGGGGAACAGAACTCTCTTATGCATCCTGTTTACAAAACTGAACATCCATCTTCTTGAATTCGTCTTCCTGAACTTTCCTGGATATTCATTGACTGACTGCTACTCAAATGCAAGCAAATGCTACAAAACGGCTCCACAAATTCCATAATAGATCTCACTTTTGAAGAGACGCGAAGCGGATTTACGAGAGAACATACTACTTGCATGCTCCCATCAGTAATATCCACCGTTACACCAGTAGTGACAACGTCAAGATCTGATAAACTTATCCTTCTTTTCAGTTAAGGAAGACGTTTTTCGGGTATGTGCGCTTGAATGATGCGAAGGTGAAGTTTGCCACGAGGTTTCAAGTGACATCAAGAAAAATGACAACGAACAAACTATGGTCTGCGTCAGAAAAAAAATCTCGCTATCCGTTTCAAGTCTGTCAGATGCAGGGAATGTTCACGACCGACAAATTTTAATTTCACCAGAACAGTCCATCCTTTTGTTGTGCATAAAAAAAGACAGCAACACTCTTCCTGAAGCAAAATTTTAAGAGTTTAGACTGAAATTTGAAAAGTACCAAGTCATATCTCACGCCTACTAAATTTACTAACAGAATGGTAATGTGTGGCTTACCCAACTGCTCTTTCTCTGATTACCATCGCTTGGTTTCCCATCGGGTTGGGTGTTTACCGTCTCGTCTATCGCAGGTACGTGGACTGAAGCGGGCTGAGGTACTTGCTGGAAAGGTGTGGTTGCCTCACCCAACACTACTTGGTTTCCAGTGACAAGTAGTTGTTGGTTCCCAAGGCTGTGCAGGCCAAATCCGGATTGACAACGGAGGGCGTCGATGGTGGCGCGTAATTCGTGTAACTCTGAGTCCTAGGGAGCGGAAAAACGTTGTCTTCATGGAAAGGTACGTACCCAAACAAACAGGCGGTTTAGACATCAAAAGAAGGCTGGACCGAACAGGTGGGTTGGTTGCATGGAACAAGTGAACGCCATTTTCTACGGGAAAGTCCCATAAAACGCATACCAGAGTCTATTTTCATGGAGGAAACTACTCACAAAGCTGGGCGAAAAACTTTTCCACTG